CTCTGGGTGAATATGGACAAATGCCTGCCATTCTCTCTCCAATGCTTCCCTTCCATATAGCTGGGAGAAAGATCTATCATCTTTTCTTTAGTTACTCATTCTCCCCAAGCCTTTCCAACCGCCTGGAGGAGAACTTAAGACTTGTGGAAGATGGCTACAAAGATTCCTTCCCTTCCCCTCAGCCAAAGTCCCCAGGCTGCCTGCTCCTGAGAGGACTGCAGAGCCCTCCCTCACTCTGCCTTGCCTTCCCGTTCAGGGCCCTGGCTTGCTAACACAAAGAAATTCCAACTAGGACTTCAAAGGACGCCTGGCTCCCAGTCTCCCATAGCTCCCAGCAGGCTGGTTCTGCAAAAAGGCATTTCTGAAGTTAGTATTCTAGTACTTTTACACCAGTATCTGCTCATCATTGTCAAGTTTTGATGCTAACCTTTTTAAACGATCACTTCTAGTGCTTTGAAGGATTGCGAAACTCGATTCCTGTGGGGAAGAGCGATTCTAAATAGACAGTATGTCCTCCTCAACCAGGTTCACATATGGATACAAGGTGTTTGTTTCCTTTTCTTTCTTTCAAAATAAATGTATTAGGTATGTGTCAAGCATTATCCTTGCCTCTGAGGGTACACAAATAAGATTTAGTCACTCAGGGGTTCCTAATTCTGATATCCCACATGCAAGAATAGAGACAAATGCTAGGTGCAATTGTCGGCCAGAGGAAAGAGAGGGACCGATTAAGGCTGGGGTGTCAGTAAGTCTCCACAGGGATGGCCTGTCAGTCTTTTAAAATACAAAGTGACTACTGAGAGAAGAAATATTTGATCAAGAAGGAAACACTAAATACTTCCAAGCTGCAATACAACCTGGAATTTCAAAGACAGCCTAAGGATTCAAGTAAGGGTTAGGAGCTAGAGTTCTATTATTGGTGCTACCAACAATTTGCTAGGTACTGTGGGGTCTTCCCTCAAGTGTTCTGAAACTTAAGTGTGCCTTCTAAATAGATGAAACTACTATTATAAAGTCTGTTTAAATAAACCTCCTATGTGAAAATCATTTCTTCAGTGTGTTGAAATGAGAGTCATAATTTTTATCTCATGGGTATAAGTGTGTGTGTGAAGCTTAGTTGGGATGAATTTATTTGATTACTCCTTTCAAGGCACTTAAAATCTTATATAATCCCATGTGAGGTGTGTAGGAAGATTTGATGAGAAATAGTATGACCCTTCATCAAGTTTCTCCATCATTCTTTTAAATGTCACCACCTCGCTCTGGCTTTTGGGGTTCCTCATCCGATATACTGGTTACTGAGAGAGCTGACCCATTCTGTGTGCTGCTACCTCCTTCTAGCCTCAGAATGTCCTGGCAGAAGGGCCCTCATCTCCTCTCTGCTCTCTAGATTTGTGGTGCTGGGGCAGCTCGTACTGTTTGCATATCCATCTGTTTCTCCAAGGAGAGCATGAGCAACTAGAGGGCACTGACTTCCTCATTTTTAGAATCTGTGGTGTCTTCCACAGAAGGAACAGAGGAAAGGTGATTAAAGAAAGGTTCACACAGCGAATGACTTGCAAACCCTCTCCTTGTTCCGAGGCAAAAGCACCCTGTGTCTTCTGAACATGTCACATGCCCTGTATGTTCTTCTGCCATCCGCCCTCAACCCAACATCATCCCTTTCCTTTCTCACTCACCTAATTGTATCTATTTAAGGCAGTTTGATGTCATTGGTCAGGGTGCGGCCCTGAGGTCACTATTTCAGTCTCCATGATGCGTTTAAAGTGCAGCCAGGCTTGAGAAACACTGATTTAAAGTGATACTCAGTCCCATCTTCTCATGAAAAGATTAATGTGTCTCTAGTGAGTTTGTTTTCTTTTGGATTCAAAGCAGTTATTATTTTAACCACTCATTAGATAGCAATTCAAATACTGTCTTGTGACAGGATCTCAGTATTCGTTTGTTCTATATTAAATTTTGATTATTTGTGAATACATATATCATCTTTCATACTAGGTCAGAAGAACCTTGAAGGCAGAAACTATGCCTTCTCTTTCTTTGCATCCCATCCATATGTGTGGTGAACCAAAACATAGTTTTGATTATTAAAAAAAAAAAAACCCTAATTGAGGCCATTTAAATTCTACTCTAAAGACATGTCTTTGGTAAGAATAAAAATGTTCCAGAATGGGTGGGACAGAATTATAGCAGAGTAGGAAAGAGTAAATAAAACTCAAATGGAAAAAAAGCTAAATTAGTCCAAAAGAAAATGCTTCCCAGCTTCTTAAGAGGGTTTTTGCAAACGCTGAGCAGAATAAACAAGAGCATTAACTTGGCTTGTGCCCTGATAAGGAGATTTCTTTTTTTGGTTATATAATTTCACAAAGTTTCCAGGGTGTAAAGAAAGTAATCAGCCAGGGAGGACCCCTTTCCTTGGACTATACAATGCAGCTCTTAGGCTAATCAGCTCGCAGATCTGCCCAGCTTGACCTGATCCCCTTCTAGCCCTGTGATCTCAGACTAAGCCTCATATTCAAGAGCCCTGGTATAGAGCTCAATGTCATGGAAATGGGATAAAACATAATCCTCATTCCATAACCTTGATCCCTTGATAGAGCAGCTCTGCTTGTGCATTGGTTATGGAGAGGGGGGAGTTATACCCAGTGATCTTCTCCAAGTGGCCAGTGCTCCATACATGTGCTCCTACCAAACAGTGCTAAAGGAAGCATTATTGGGTGCAATTACTTTAAAGGCTGGCTATAAATTATTGTTTTGTGCATACATCCCAGAAAAGGTTTACCTTCATATGACTTCTCTAGTTTGTCATGAACAGACCCCTAGAAAAGCTCAGAGAATCACTAAGGACTCTGCTAAGGCAAGACAAGGCCACCTAACAGAGACATGTTTTCTAGATCAAACTTCATCTTAGTTATTAAGGCCACAATTTAACAACCAGTCCCCACAGGCATGCACATGTCTAGAGATGAATTACATGTAAATTGTCTTATCTAGGTGGCTATTTTAATGCTGGTCATGTTTTACTTACATTTCTAATTATCATTTGATAATATGATTCAAAAGCATTTTAAGTCTGCTCTTGATTGATTAGTAATGATAGTAACAAGTTGTCCTGTGTAGATTAAGACAACTCTACTGACCCATCTAACAGGATAGAGCTGATGAACTGCCTCATAGATCCATCTGTGCCTTGCTCCTGTTTCTACTTGTGATGAGTGGCTTGCATTGGACCACATGCGCCAAAAACTGAGAGCCACCAAAACTCTATGATAACAAAGAGCCAAAAAAAAGAAAAGAAAAGAAAAGAAAAAAACAACACCGCACATGAATCCCCTAGGCCATTACCAGCTAACACTAACAAAGGAAAATGCCAGATTAATTTATCAAAACAAAAGGAAAAGAAAAGTGTGGCTCCAATTTCTTTATTTGTAAATGCTAACTAGTAAAAGTAAAACTAGGACTGGGAGCTTAATATCCATAATACCATATGTAATAGACTGAATCACAAATTCAGTGTGTGCCATCTAACATCTAAAACAGGGATAAACTACAAGTGTTCAAGGAGTGAGGTTCAGGACCTCCAAAAATGAATGAATCAGTACTGATTCACAAGGAATGTTGCTTCTTCAAATAGAGTCACAGTGCTTGACAATCCTTAATCATATCCCTGATAGCTGAAATAGGGTTTATTTAGTGTAACTACCTATGGTACAAATCTAAGGTCATTAGGTCTGATAGGAATATTTTTGGATGTGTTTGCTGAAGAGGGAAGTGATAGATTCAGATCCAGGATACTTGAATCATCAGGAAAAAGGTATCACTGAGGTAATGAGCACGCCAGGGCCTGAAACTTTAAGAATGTTTCCCTAAATGAAAACAAGCAGCTCCATCTTCTCAGAACATGGCTGACTCGATCATCAAGCAGGAATGTTATTTACACAGTGCCAAGCAAACCAAGAAGAATCCTCTGGTCTGTTACCAAGGGCACTTGGAAAGTTATGTCTGGAACAGGCAAAGGCTCGTGTCTGTTTTTGATGATTCCTGACTCCTTGAAAGAGAGCCAGTTTACCTAATGCAGGTAAAGGGCAACAACTCGCTTCCCACTGACTCCCCCAGAAAGGACCACCAACATGGTAACTCATGCCTATTTAATTAATAATTTGTTCTATATCTAGCAAGATGGGCAAATCTGGCTTCTGAAATTCTGCCCCATCCAACAAATCAGAATAATCACTCTGTCTTCTTCCTGCTTGCAGGAGAGGTCAGGATAGAACCTGGTCCACACAGCAGGATCAAGGTAAGGTCAGACATAGAAAAAGTAAATCTCTTAATTATGAAACATCTTACAAAGGGGTCAGACTGCTCCTTTCTTTGGAGGGGGGAGGGAAGATTAAGAAAGGGGTAGAAAGCAACTTTTCTGAATAGGAGGGAGAAATTCTCACTCACTGCCAGTACAGAAACCGTGAGTAGGGAACTCAAGAAGAGGTCACCTTTTTGGAGGTCTTTCTAGCATCATTCAGAAACTTACCCACCAGGCTTATGATTTAATACAAAAGTTCCCAGGATCTGGGAATAGTTAATTTACTTGGCAGGCTCTATTTGGCCTGAGGTTTTCAAAGCATGCTAACTCAGGGCCACTGCCATTTGGTTTGCACACAAATGATCTAGTCCTCAACAAGTACCAGCTAAGTGAAAAGATCATTCACCTGCTAGAGATGGAGAGTTGGAGATCCCTAGAGGTGTCGACCCTGGTCACTTACAAGTCACTGACAAGTACTATGCTCACTGTCTAGGGAGTATATACATTTGTCATGTGTGACTTGTCTTCCCACTTTACCTTAATGGCTGTCAGGGCGGGCAGAAAGGTTGGTTACTTTACCCACTCCTTGCCAGTGCTGGTTCAGGACAACATTGCCAATGTCTTCAAAGATCAAAACTCAGATTGTAAGGTACACCTTTTTCTCTGCCCTTGACAGTCAGAAAGCACTCCAAGTCCTCACCTGTCTCCTCTCTGAATCAAGGTTCTGAAGAATCAGTCGGGTGTTCACACTGTGACTCCAGGTGTTTCCTAGAGCAGCTGTCACACAGCTGGATCCAGAAGTGTCTGAAATAAAACAGGGCAAAGGCTTGTTCATGGATGCCTTTTCTTTTGATGGAGCTTTATATAAACAAGAGAACAGTCATCGCTCATTCTTAGGGACTACTTGGGGGGCTCAGTTCATTAGCACAAAAGTAGATGACCTAGAGAGGTAGGAGAAGAATTAAGGAACATAAGGGCTAAAAAATAAAAACCAGGATGTGTTTCCTTCAGCCTCAGAAAAAGTGACCACTACTGGGCTAGAAGATAACAGAATTATAAATCCACAAGGGGTTGTACTATAAGGCAGCCTGGAGCCTTTGCTAATAATAAATCAAGCCACTCAACATCCATGGCAGAAAGGCATAGCTACTACATATATAGCATAAGAACTGGTCATGAAACAGTCTTAGTGTAATAGAGTTGTAAGACTTTTTTAGCCTGATAAGAGCCTTAACTCAATTTTCCTTATCAATATTGAAGTGGTAGCAAATGCATATAAAATCCCCTTGCCCTTCCAAGCCTGCACATACACACCCAGTGGAGGAATCTGCAAGACCTCACCACTTCATATCTAATGTGTATTAGACATCCTTATCCCATGAGAAACATTCTTTTACTTTCTAAGACTTTCCGATAAGGGGAGGATCTGAGGTAAACTTTATCCAAGTTTCTAGTCTACTCCACATTGCCCTTCAGCTACCATCTCTCATCTCCAGAGCTTCACTGAGCCCTCTTGGCCTCAGCAGCAGCAACCATTCCTGCTCTGCTCCTCTTCTTCCTCCTTAGAGGTGACTCATCATGCTGCCATTTAGAAGCCAGTCCCCACTCTCATATCTAGCTTACCCTATGGTCTCCTCCATACTCCTATGCCCACCTTAGAATTCCAGTCTTAAGGGGCACAGGGCACATTTAGTCTGCCTTGCTCTTCAGTGAGGAGAGGAAGTACATGGGGCTGAGGTCTACTGAATCAGCGAAAGCAAAATGAGCCTTGGGTTTCTCATTTGTTTTCCACTCGCTGTTTCATCAGATTTTCACCCCTCAGTGTGGAATAGAATTGGTCTTCTTTTCCTGGCAATGTCAAAGTGGGGGTACTATAGGCATCTAGAGAGTAGAGGCTGGTGATGCTGCTAAAGACCCTATAGCACAGGACAGCCTTCTCTCCACCCCCCACAAAGAATGATCTCACCCAAAACATAATAGTGCCAAGGTTGAGAATCCCTGGGTTAGAAAACACCATAATTTCTTCTGACTTAGGCAGGTACAGGAATGAATTATATGGAAATCAGTTACACATACCTCAACAAGCTTGGGGACTTCAGGTTGAGGGAGAAGTTAGCACAGGAAAGAACAAAATTGGGGGTAACCTTGATTTATCATATACACACTTCAAATTAGATTCAAATTAATGTGAAAACAATTTAGACTACTCTGATCTGATCATGTCATTTCCTTACTTAACATCCTCCAGCAGTCCTCTGCTCCTGAGAATAAAATACTTGTCCTTAGCAATGTCATCTTGCACCTGTAACTGTCTCTCATGCCATCTCTCTAAATTCTCATCAGATGATATCCAGAAACCTCCCAGCTTCTCTCTTCTTTGGCATCTTATACACTGGCCTTTTCTACTTCTCATTTTACCATACCAACTACTCCTTTGCCTCTTCTGCTTTTCTTCTCTCTCTTCTTATTTATGCATAGACCTCAGAGAGGTGGCCAAGACCAAGTATTTTCCTAATACCAAATGCCTTTTTAGTGCCTAGAAAGAGGTCAGATGTTAACATTTTAACATGAGGAAATTCTTTACTATCACAATGAGATGCAGTTGCTGCCATTTTTCTTGAAATACATAATCATTTCAGTCTACCTTTCATTTTCCCCTTTCTGATAATGACACATTAACAGAAATATTTTCTGCCAAGAAAACCAACACTGCAAAGGGTAACAGCTACTGATTCTTTTTCTTTTTTCACATTGTTGAAAAATAGCCTTATTGAGATAATTCATATATCATATAATCCATCCATTAAAATGTACAATTCAACAGCTTTTACTATACATTAAGTCCTTACTTAACATCATTGATAGGTTCTTGGAAATTACAACTTCAGTGGAACCAATTTTATCATAGGCAAATTGAAGAGTTAAATTCCTATAGCATATTTCTGATCATAGACTAATCACCAAAGGTCTAAATAAAGGCCAGAAATACTTCTATTAAACAATAATTTATATTCATTCAGTCATTCATTTATTCATTCTCCAATGTGCTTCAGTTCAGGGTCGCGGGCAGCCAGAGCTTACCCTGGCCCCTTAAGACACAAGGTAGAATCCAACCCTGGAGAGAATGCCCTGCCATCAAGGGAGCTCTCATACACACGCAAACACACTCAGACAGAGACAAATTAAACCTGCCAACATGTATGGCTTTGGGATATGGGAAGAAACCAGAGGGCCCAAGGAAAATCCATGCAGACTGGGGAGACCAGGCAAACTCCACAGTGGCCTCAGCAGGGAAATTTTATTTTTTCTCACCAATATTAAAATAAAATGATGTTGAACTAAATGATATTCAAGGACCCACTCTATTCAGAGTTGTTTGACCATTGCCACAACAACTTCAGAACATTTCTTTAACTCCAAAAGAAATCCCATCCCTCTGGGCCATAAACACCCAGTCCCTCTTTCCTGGCCCCAGTCCCAGACAATCTTCAATCAACTTTTGTTAATATTAGTGTTAGGAGTTGATGGGGGGTAAGGGAGACAAGGTGAATTGGCAAATTCATCCACCCTCTCAAGGGGGCAGAGCCTGTCCAGTTACATTTACTGTTGTCATGTGGCAGGATGAGTTCATGGTTAGCCAGATCTTTTGATTATTAAAAAAGAAGCCAGGAATCAATATTTTAAGTGCAATCTCTTGATTTTAAACGTTGGCTTCGTTTTTAAAATTTAAAAACACACAAACATGCTTGTGAGCCAACTATGACTCATTTCCACCAAGCCTGCAAGGTCTGCTCCATATGGGATGGCCTCGCTGTTGACAAGGACAACACCCCCATGTGGATGATTTCTAAACCTCTGCCTCAACCTTTGACTTGCCTCAGCTCCTGTCATCCATTCTCAACGACAAGAATTACAATGACATAATGAATATTAGCATCATAAATTCACTATCTCCAAATCAAGTCTATATCTACCCATATGAACTTATTTCTTATTCTTATTTATTAACTTATTTCTCCTTCTTTGCCCCTTCCTTTGGTCAACCAGCTAATTTAATGTGAAATGCCACTCATTTTAAAACTTTTCTTATGCTCTATACATCTAATAAATTAAAAAGCCTTGTTGATTAGACTGTAAAATCTCACCAACATCCATCCATTCCCTATCCTCCATCCCTCCTACCCCAACCTTAGATCAGACCCATATTAGCTTCCACCTGGGGATGAATGCTATCTCTTTGGAACTCTGCCACTCTCATTTTCTCCCTGTGAAGGTCCATCATGTATACTACTACCTAAGTAACCTTCCCAGGCACATAGCTATGCATATTACCCTATTACCCACTATGATGAGCATGCTTAAAAATTTTCCATGACCCCTGAGTGCCCTCAAAGAGTTCTAAATTCCTAAGACTGGTGTTCAATCTTTGAGTCCACCTCTTCTAGCCTCCTTTCTGTACTCTTCCTTCCATTCCAATTCATACAGATTTTGCTCCAATTTAATAACTACTTTCCCAAGGCCCCTCCACTCATGGAATGCCTGTGTCTACACATTGTTTTCAATACCTTCTACATGTGACTTCCCTGGTCATCCCCAAAATAGTGTCTTTCCTCTCTCAATTCCCAGAATACTTTCTTTTATGGTCTAATTTTACTGCCATTTTCTAACTTGTGGTGTAAAACTTGTGTACTTTTCTTAGAAACCCTAAGATGTTTTTGAAGAGGGTTAAATCCATGTCTGATTTAGGCTTATATGCCTGAACTACTTAATACATGTTCTGAGACACAGAGAATGCTTAATAAATACTTGTAAAATAAACTATTCCTACTTAAGCTTGAAATGTTGTATTCTTGCTATAGCAGCAGATTTACATTCTTAATTATTTTGCTTAAGCTAAATTAATAGGCTTACAGTTTTCAAGCAAACTCTAGAAGCTTGTTGCTTAGTTGTCTACTAAGTGAGTAGGATAAAGTGAGATCAAGTTTTAAAGTTTGCCAAGGAAAAGTGACATGTGAATAACTAGGAGTTGCTAGTTAGTTAAGCATCCCCCCCCAAATAAAAATTGGGCAATAAAAATTCTGGCAATAAAACTGTAAAAATTTCCCAGATCTAGAGGATGTTTTCAGAGGTCAGAGCTGCAAATGGCCATTAGACATATTTAAAGAGCTTCATGTTTCTAAATCAATAAAAACAATATAAAATATATTTATGTTTTCTGGACAGATAGGCTGAGATCCTAAATAAAGGCCATGAGCATGAATGACCACAGAGACGTTTCTAATGAAAGCCTGCGTGAACAAGCTTGAGGAGATATATTTTCAGGACTTACAAACTTAAGTCACCATAAAAGCAAGGCCTTGAAAGTTAATGATAATAAAAGGCAATATTTTGTGAGTACTGTACACAAGGTACCAGGTAAGCCCTTTATATGAGGAGGGCTTACATCTTGTTTGAACTTCATATCCTAGTTACATTCTTTTTGATTCTTACAACCACCCTATAAGGCAGGTAATATTATCATCCCTATTGACAGACTGAGGCTATGAGAGATTAAGTAATGTTCCCAAGGTCACATGTTGGTTAACAACAGAGCCAGGATTCAAAACTAGGCTGAATTTTAACTACTACTTCAATGAGCTTTCTCCAAGATCATTATGTCAAATAGTCTGCTAGTCTGCCACCCTAGAAGTGCCAGGCCCACCTGAAGACACTGACAGAGGCATGTTGTGAGCATCCTATCACTCATTTGAACTCTGCACATCACTCAGACTCCACACTTGGCTTGTCAATTCTGATGTAAAGTG